CTCTGCATTTGGCTTTTTGGACTCCATATGCTAACAAAATGTATCCCAAAATTGTGAATTGTGTGTGTTTATGTGTGTGTGTGTGTGTGTGTGTGTGTGAGAGAGAGAGAGAGAGAGAGAGAGAGAGAGAGAGAGAGAGAGAGAGAGAGAGAGAGAGAGAGAAACGGAAATTGAGAAAGGAAGAAAGAAGGAAGGGAGGAGAGGGGAAAGGGATAGGAAAGAGGAGAACAGGGAAGGAGGAAGGGGGAGGGGAAAGGAGGGCAAGGAAGGGTACCAGTGTTCTTACTATCCCCAATTTTAAAAATGAAAAACCAAAACACAGGGAAGACATATGTATCATCCCAAGTTACACAGTAAATCAATATTCCAATTTTCCATTCCAAGATATCCATTAGCATTGATATATGTAAAATACCAAAGGACCAAAAATAAGGACTCTGGTGTTTGGGGTAAATCCTCTATGGAGGATTTATTTATGGGAGGAATGGAATTTATTAATGGAATTTATGGAATGGAGAAAAATTGTACAGCATGAAGAAATGCTGAAGGACTAGCAATCTGCACTAGTGGAGGGCACACCCACACTGATGAAATCATATCCAATGGCAAACTGATATTAGAATTCCATTAGACTATGTGTCACCTTTGCTAGACCACCATATGCCAATATGCCTGCCTGTTACTTGAAGGCACTTGCTCCTTACCTACAATCAACTTCATCATCTTCAAATATGTGATGTAACCTACCCTGCTGTGATAAATCTAAATAATGAATAGATAAAGATCTGCTAAAAACAGGAGTTGGTTTTTAACATAGAATACAAGATGTCTGTGAATAGATTTCATGGGGTCTATAAACCAGACTGTGAAAAATTGATTATTTATTTTGACTAACATCTAACAAAATTATGGCATTTTCTTCAATTACGAATGAAAGCAACAGAAATTATATACTGAAAGGGTCTATAGGCTTTACCAGATCACCAATGAGGTCCATGGCATAAAAAGTTAAGAATCTCTGTTTCAGAATAATAATCACAGATGATATTTTTATCACATTATATAAAAGCTGATATCTTTCAGGTTTGCAAAAGAGGTCATGTGATTTGATCTTCACAATAACCCTGTGAGATAGGTATCATTATCATTTTCCAGATGAGGAAACTCAATCTGAGAAAGCTAAGTGACTTGACCAGGGTCATATAGTGTTTTAGATACGATATATTCTTCATTCCATGCCCAGCACTCACTCTATTATCAATCAATTCACAAGCATTTATTAAGTACCTAGGCATCAAACTAGGTGCTGGAGATACAAATATAGAGACCCTTTTATTGTTCTTCATTTTTCAGTCATGTCTGACTCTACCTCATTTGGGGTTCTCTAGGCAAAGATACTGGAGTAGTTTGCCATTTCTTTCTCCAGCTCATTTTACAGATAAGGAACTGTGGCAAACAAGGTGAAGTGAAGTGACTTGCCCAAGGTCACACAGCTATTAAGTGTCTGATGTCAAATTTGAACTCAGGAAGACAAGTCTTCCTGACTCCATGTCCAGGATTCTATCTACTGTGCTACCTTGCTGCACTTCTGAGAAACCAGCTGTTTTTAATTATACTTGCCATTGATTACAGACATAATCTTATCTAATCCTCAGAAATAGCCTAGTGAGATAGGTAGTACAAGTATTAATTGACCTACCTGACCTCAAACATCAAGAAATAGAATGTTTTCATATACATTACATCATTGAGGAAATGTTTGAACAGAAAAAGAGATGGGTCATAATGTAGAGAGGAAAAAAAAAAACAACAGACAAGAGAAACTGACCAGTATGTACTGGCAATCTTGAGATTAAAAAAAAAATTGCCAAATTGTTATGAAATTCCAAGTCTTTCTAACACTGAAAGTCTATTTTATTATGAACTCTAACAGGGATGAGAAAACTGAGGATCAGAGAGAAGTGACCTATCTAGGATTACTCAACTAGCAAATTATTGAGTTCAAAGCCAGGTTCTGACTTCAGATCCCAACTTCTTTCCATTAACACAGTTATTGGGGGAAATTTTTTTTTAAAAATAGCTATTGGATGGAGGAGGAGGTGTTATGGAAGACATGTAGAATTATAGATATGGTGACAACTTTTCACTATTACCTAGAGCTAGAGATATTCACTCATAAAAAGGTGGGTTCATAAATAGTCTCGGCTTTTCTTGAGTTAAGGAACCATCTCTCACATATAGAGATCTCTTATCAGGAATAGAAAATCACCCTCTATTGCTTAAATTAGACCTGACATAGTAATATCTGGAACTACATCTGATGTTTGTCAGTGAACAATGGAAGAGAAATGCATGTAAATCCATAGAGCGTCTGTGTACTATCCTGTTCTCCTAAATATTCTTCAAAGGTACTTATCTGCTCCTACTCTTCTTCCTGATCCACTGGAAGTTTAGTTTGTGCTATGATCATCCTGCTACATAATTTGGTGTAGACACAAAAGCACTGAGCAAGGACATGGAGGACCTAGTCCTTGACTCTGCCACTAACTAGATGTATGACCTTGGGCAAGTCCCTTTTCTCCATTTTTAGCTGCAAGGTTTCTTTCAGCTATGAACATGTTTTGTCTTTGGTTCCAAGCCCCATGCCTCCTAAATTCTCTCATATCCTTTTTAATTAGATTACTAGAAACTTTCATTACTATCACTAGAATTTTAAAGACAAATTCCAAGTAAAATGTAAATATTAAAAATATTAATAGGATTTATTCTATCTCTTTTCCCCTTAATAACCCACAGAATTCTGAAAGCCATAAAATTTAAGACATAGTCAAAAGGAGTAACACCAGACTGACAAAGTACATTACCAACTTTCAAGATATCATATACGGAATTGATGCAAAGTACCAGGAGTCACATGAATTTCTTTTACTTTTATTTCAAATCTTTCCCAAGAGTTCTAGTAATGACACAGATCTTTAAAATTTCCATTGTCACAATATAGGAGAATATTCTCCATACCATAACTGGAAAGTTATGGTAACCAGTCTTTCTAAAAAATCACCATGTGGCACAATTGAGCAAAAACTTATTCTTACGAATAATTCAGGTTTTATGCATTGATAATGCGTGTACTCTTATTATTGGAATGGTCCCTAAACATTGAGTGATAATTTCTTAGGGAAGTCCAGACATTTCAGTCAAGGAGGGAGCAATGAAACGACTAGATTTTTTTTCCCTTGCTGTAATCATCTGGTGTGGTACAGAAGAAATGAGTAGTAATACTTTTTTAGTACTAATTGATAGCCAAGATAAAAAAAACTTAAAGAGGTCTAATCTCAGTTTCTTTACACTTACTCTGTTTTTGCAAGAACACATAACTATAGGAACAAAAGTATGGGACTGCTTTACTAGGCTAGAATAGTAATAATGTCATGCCACTGAATTTACCAAGGTTTCTCCTTCCCTGTCCCACCCCACCAGGACTTCCTTCTTCCCCTCCATTCATGCATCCAATATTTACCACTTTGCCAAGAAACTTGAAACAAGGCAATCATCAGTAAAAGTAGTACAGACCACAGGACCAAAACACAATTAGAGAAAAGCTCTACAGAATGGAGGGCATTGGTACTCTAATTTGTAGACTGTCACAGCCTTCCCTCTCTTAGAAGACTCCCAAACTACACACAGGAATTATTCACTGAAAGGCAATCTAAGCTTTCTTTTCTCACATGATTTCTCTGGGTGGTACGCTACTTTGGGGATCAGCTATTTAATCCCAACTCCACCTACAGTCCTCTATCCTTCCAAAAATATACTAGAAAAACAGTGGAGAAACAGTTGGCCCACTATGACAGTCAATGGTCAACAATCATTTATTTAGTGCCTTCTATGTGCTGAGCACTGAGGATACAAGGAAAAGGGAGAAAAAACAGTCTCTGCTCTCAAAGAGCTCATAGTCGATGTCAGAATTCTCCTCCGCCTGACAACTGTTTCACAATAACGCAAACCTTGAATGAGATGGGAAAAAGTGAGTTAACTAATTAAACTCCAGCACCTGACCTTGTTTAAATAGCAAACAGAAACTCTGGATGGGGGATAGGTGCAATGGGGTACTAAGCTAGGCTTAGCTCCATTACCAAACTATTTCATTCTTAGGGTCAATGATCTTCCTCCACTGGGCTTCCAGGAAGCATTCCAACAAAAGATACCTAGCACCCAACTAACGAAAGGCAAAGACATAACTCAACGCTGGTACTTTAACCTCTTCATTGCCTAAATTGACCCCATTCTACCCCCTCCTGTTCTCTTTCTGCCTACACCTGGACATGCTAAATATGCTCAGTGAGGGATTATCAAGTGGGGGCTTTTGCCAGCCAAAGCGCCTTACCTCGTAGTTTGTCCCTTCCCAACCACCCCCACTTATTACTCACCACCCCTTCCCCAATTTGGAAAGTAAAGTTCTTGGCTGCGAGTGGGAAGAAGGGCTAGGGAATAGGGTTAAGGAGGTGCTTTAGGTGAGGACAGCACACAAATTCCGATCTAAGGGACTTCATTCAGAGAGAACTAATGAATCAGAGGAACCTCAATTCTTCCCCATGGGGGCTGAGGGGCTTTTATCACTTCTCTATACAGAATCCTAAGGATCTGTGGCTCCTTTGGGAGACAGGCTCCTATCATCAAAATCAATCTGCCAAAGGAGAAAAAGAGAAAAAGGGCAGAGAGGTCAGAGAAAGAAGCAGAGAAAAAAAGCAAGGAGAGATAGAGGAAAGAAGAAAGAAGGAGACGTAGCACCGACATACATAGACATATCCATAGTAAGCACAGAAGAAACCCAGACATATTTCCAGAAAAATTTCTAGTCAAAGAAAATAGGCACAAAATCCCCAATTTCCTTCCCAACCCCCGCCCCGCATTTCTTTAAGGCTATTTTCAACACCCTAGAGAGGCTGCGATACAACGTAAAATAAAACAGCAAAGGAAAAGAAATTTCCAATACTTACACCTAAGCGTCTGCTCCTAATCTTTACATACCCTTGCTTTACTATGTCATTAAAATTGGAAGCCATCCTAGACTGTGGCTCTCTTGCCCTACACACACCCTGACCCGAAAGTCCTTCTCGGGGTGGGGGCGCCCAGGGTGGAAGGGGGAGAAAATTTTAAAAAAAAAAAAGTTCAAGGTTGGGAAGAAGCTCGTGGGCTGCGACTGGCTGGCTGGCTGGCCGCGCTCTGTCAGCAGCCCCACATCACTTTCATAATCCTCCTGACCCAGAAACTCCGAGACGGCGGCGGCGGTGGTGGCGGCGACGGCGGCGGCGGCGGACTTTAATCCACTTTGAGAGAGCAGAGAGAGAAGAGGCTGGAGCGCAAGGAATCAGCTGACGCAGCCACGGCTGTCTGAGCAGTGACTGGAGGGGGCTCTAATGCCCGGCTCTTCTCTGGGGTGGGGAGAAGAGGAGAATGAGGAGGAGGGAAGACTAAGAGAAGAGGAGGCGGTGCTTCCCTCTATGCTAGGCACCTACTCGCACACACGCGCGCGTATACACACACGCGCACACTCGCGCAGGCAAACACATTCACGGGAGCAAGCAATCTTCCTTGCTCTCCTCTCCTTCCCATCCTTCTCATCTGCTCTCTCACCCTCCTCCCTGTAATTCCCTGCTCCCTCTCACCCCCGAGACCGAGAATCTGCTCCAACCTCTCCCATTGCTACCCCGCCGGAATCGCATTCTCTTCTCGCTCCAGGGATTTATTTTCGGATTCAAAGAAATCTGGTGTGATGTCGTTAGTATAGGAAACTTCCAGGGAGAAAATTACTTCTACCAAGGGAGATCAGAACCTGCCCTGCAATTTATAGTCTTAAGAGAGTTGCCCTGAGGCATAAGGAGGTTAAGTAATTGCGGAGGTAATAAGTAATTGCGGAGGATCACATAGCCAGTATGTGTCAGAGACAGGACTGGAATCTAGGTCTTTGTGACTCCAAGACAATATCTCCATCCACTGTGGCAAGATTCCTCTCCTACATAAAACACAACACATGCCACAGCACAGTCTGAGATTAAATTAAGGAAACTCTTCCTACCAATGCAAATCTATGACTTTTTTTTCACTTTCTAGTCTTAATAGTCGGAGTCACTGAGAGGTTAAATGACTTGGCCAGCGCCACAGTCAGTACTATCAGAGACAAGGCTTGACCCAGGTCTTCTAGACTCTGAACTAGCTTCCAAGCCAATATGTAACCCTGCCTCTCATCTATAAATAAACACAGTCAATATAAGGAGAGAGAAAGCAGAGTGTAGCAGAAAGGGAATTGAAATAGCATTAAAAAATGTAAGTTCTAGCTATGACTCCATCTCTTCTGATTTGCTGGGAGATGTTAGGCAAGCCATTTGCCCTCTGTAGGTCTGATTCTATACCTCTGTAAAAAGAGGAGGTTAGACTAGATCAAGGGTTCCTAACCTGGGGTATGTGTACCCTTAGGGAGTGTCAGAAGCTTGGATTAAAGGGAATGTTTTGATTTGATTTTTAATTTATTTCCAATCAATGAAGTTACAAAATTCTACTTAAAGTGATTTTTACAGTTTAGTGCTCCTGAGAGTGCTTAAAAAAGGAATGTAATTAATCTCTTTATTTTGTCTCATATGTTATATATATATGCATAGAAAACTGTAGAATTTTCCTTCTTTAATATTGAACAGAGGTGGATAATTTCTAAACTCAAAAGCATATGGAAGTGATTGTTGATAAATCAAAATAAATTAATAAAATTTTAAAAAATATATTGAACAGAGGCCAACAGGAAGGTTTGCTGAAAGACCCTGGGTGTGGAGATAGAAAAAGGTTAGGGAATGAGGGGGTTAGATGATCTCTAAGGTCCCAAATCATTTGGTTCTATTGCTGCTATGATTTGAATCATAGTGATGGGGAAAAAATATTGAATTAGACATTGTAGGAGCTCTGGTTGAATCTTAGCTTTGCCATTTTACTATGTGTGACTTAGGTCACATCACAATCCTATTCCATAAAATGAGAAACTTGAACTACAGAGTCTCTTAACTCCTTGTGCTCTAAACCCTAAGAGTCAGAATACATGGACTTCATGTCCGGGCTTCATCATTTTACTCCCTGCATTACCTTGAGCATGTCGCAATCTCTCAGTTCCCAATATCTGTACAGCACCTAGCACAGTGCCTGGCACATAATACCAACTTAATAAATGTTTATTCCTTTCTCCTCCTTCCCCTCCTCAGCATACCAGACCTAATCACCCATACCTTGGCTCCCTCTGACAAGGCAAGTGACTTTGCTGTTGTTGTTTAGTCATACCCAACTCTTCATGACCTCTTTGGGGTTTTCTTGGCAAAGATACTGGAAGGTTTTGCCATTTCCTTCTGCAACTCATTTTACAAATGGGGAAACTGAGGCAAACAGGGTGAAGTGACTTGCCCAGGGTCACACTAGCTGTGTAAATGTCTAAGGCTAGATTTGAACTCAGGTCTTCCTGACTCCAGGCTTGGCAGTCTATTCACTGCATCACTTCGCTTTGTAAGGAAGCTACCATCAGACAAGTAGTCATCGGCTTAGCCAGGATTTGAATCAAGGTCCTATGACTCTAAATCCATTATACTGCCTTCCCCACCATACCACTACAGTCTTGCAGTCATTATATTATCACAATTATCTATAGCCATTTGTATGTATGAAAGTCAATATGACAAAAGAGATTGAAAGACAGGCTTTGAGTCAGTAAGACCTAGGCTTAAATCTTTTCAGTTAGTGTGTATTAGTGGATCAGATTAGAGTCAGGAAGACCTGAAACAAAATCCCAGCTCAGACACTTACTGTTTGACCCTAAGTCATTTTACTTCCCAAAGCCTCAGTTTCCTCATCTGTCAAGTGGAAAGTTTGGACTCAGTCTCCATGGTCCCTTTCAGATCTATGGTAGTACTGCCACTGGCATGATAATAACTCTGTAACCATGGGCAAGTTACTGAATCTTTAAGTACCTCCAAGAAGCCCTTCAAAACATACACTTTGGTGAAACATATCCACAACAGGAATTTCCTACACAAATGAAATTATAAGTCAGAAAATACATGTCTAACATATATGTATGTCATATGTATTTATATAATAGATTCACAGAGAGATATATGCATACATGATGGTATGTGTATATTTTCTTGAATAAAGGTCCTGTGCAGATCAGCTGCCTGTCCCTTGGCTATATAACCATTTGGTTTTTTGGTTTGTTTTTTGGTGGTGGTTTTTTTTTTGGCTCATCTCTTTAAAAATACCTTCCAGAGAAAGATTCTTTGGAATACTTGAATGTTTCCAGACCTTTTAGCTACTATGTTCTCCCTCTTCTTTCCTGGACATTTTATAAACAACTGGAGGCAGTTTCATATTGTAGCCTAACAACAGTAGAAATGGGGATAAGATCCAATAATAACAACTCAAAGTATGTCTTCATTCTGTCTGAAAAAGAATACTTTGATCCAATTGAGTTTTTCTCATTCTTTCTGAGAACTCTGACTTTCATTGACTTTTTCCTTGTGTGTGCCACTTTAAGAAGAGATTAGAGATTCTTTTCTCATCTGTGTTGGAAGTAGAGATAGATATGAAATAGAACAATACAAAAGTCAATATTTTTTGGAGGGAAAAGTCTTTTTTGTTAAAGAAGACATCTACTGCCTTCATCTTCATGTTCTCTTTGCAGAAAACATGAAATTACCTTAGACTCAGTTCAAGTTCCTTGCTGAAACAGAAGAAAACATAGTTGTGTAGTTAAAAAAAAAAAACATTACCCTGGGAGTCAGAAAACTGTCTGGCACTGCCAGAAGCTATCTAAGTGCCCTGGGCTAGTCATCTTTAGCCTCTTTCTACTCTGTAAATGAAGATAAATTTAACCTGTAGGATCCCTTCTAGATCTTGCTTTCTAAGATGCTAGAATGCAAATGATAGGGTGCGTGAGTTTCTTTTGGCTGCCTGAAAATGTGAAGCTCTGTCCATGGTATCCAGAATATTAAACTTCCTGAAAGTTATTTGGAAAATTTTCACTTACAGACACAAATCAGGAATTTCAGGAATTTACAATATGAAGGGACTTCCGGGATCATCTAGTCTAGGAGTTCTTGACTTTCTTTGTCTCACAGATTCCTTTAAAGTGTATGGACCTCTTCTCAGAATAAGCTTTTGTCTATATTCATTATTAAAGAGATTGCTAAATTTGAGTTGGAGATTAGTAAAATAATTTATGTAATTTTTCTTCATAAATGTTATATGCTTCTTCAAATCTATCAGTTTACCTCTTGATGGTCCCAATTTAAGAACTGCTGATTTAGTATAATCTCCTCATTTTACAGATCAGGAAACTGCTTTGCTGAAGTCATACAACTGGTTAATGGCAGAGCCAGGACTTTAATTTAAAAAAAAAACAGAACTAGATTGTGAATCACAAAAGTAGGTTCAAGTACCACTCACAACCTGTCTGACCTTGGGCAAGCAATTTAACTTCCCTTAGCCTCAGTTTCCTACTTTATATATTAGAGGATTAGACTAAATAATCACTATTATCCTCCCAGTTCTAAAAGTCTCTAACCCAAGGGAACTCAGGTATTTTTTCCACCACACAAATTTCAGGTTGACTCCAATGTCCAAAAATATACTTGAAAAAGTAAAAAAAAAAGTTAGTTCAACCCAATCTTGAGAAGGATAGATACTAAGAGAATAAAGAAAGAGGAAGAGGAGGAGGAAGTTGTATAACTAAATATTGTTTTGCTAATTTGCAAAATTGTCAACCTGATACTTATTTGTAGATATCATGGAAATGTTACATGTTGTAGTTCCACAGACTTTATTTATTGTATTAGCTTTACCAGTGACATCTATGATATAGAACACAATTCCATACAGCTTTTAAAGTAGTCCTCAGGAACTTTGTGCTCTCTGTTTTGCTTTGTGGTGTGATGAAGAGAACACCAGATTGGGAGTCAGGAGACTAAAATTCTAATTATCCCCCTGCCACTAACAGATTTGGCAAGTCAAATCACTTCCCTTTCATGGGTTCTAGATTTTGTCCTTTGGAAAATGAAGATAATGGACAAGATGATCTCCAACATCCCCTCCACCTTAAACATTTTTATGATTCTATGATTTCAAGCAATAAGAAGCTTTTCAAAATACCATCATAACTTTCATTTTTCCTAGTATGGTTCAGGGTAGTTGAAATTATTCTGTGAAATTCTATTATCTTTTGTTATAAAAGTATAGGATTATAAATTCCAAAAGAGACTTCTGATCCAATCCAATTCTGATTCCAGTTCATCTGATCCAATCCTCTGCCTCCAAACAAGAGAATTATAGTCCTTTCCATCTCTAAAATCCTATAATTCCATGTCTCTGAAGACCTAAACCACCTAAGGTAGGGGTAGGTAACCTGTGGACTCAA